CATCCTCCTGGTACCCTGCTCTCCCGCTTAACTCACTCCTCGGCCTTCGATCACCCGTCCACGTCCTCCTGGGTTCCTTCCCGGCGCCCCGTTGAAGTGCAGAAGAAGGAAGGGGCCCACAGTACTCGTCGAACTGGTCTTGCGGCCCCGGGTGGCCCCTGCTGCCCGCCTGGTTCGAATATCCCGACGGCTGGACCGGTTCGACCATGGCCCGGCCAGTTCCGGTTTGACCGGATTCGGCTCGACCAGTCTCGGCCCGACCGCCGGGGACCCGGCTCGTCCCTGCTCGTCCCAAATCACCCCGGCCCGGTTGGTTTCGGCCCGCTGCTCCCGGCCGGCCCGACTCCCACCCGCGGCTCGACTCCCTCCGGCCTCCTCCCGGTCCGCCTTCCCACCGGGCTCGGCCCACCAGGCTGCCCTCCTCCCTTCTGCCATCCGTGCCCAGCCCACTTTGCTTGTTGGGCCATGGCCCGCGATCCATCTCCTGCTCCGGATCCACCAACTCCTCCAAGTTCAGGCCCGCGTGCGGGTCCGGATCCACATACTCGGCCATCTTGGCCTTGCCACGCGCACGAGCCATTCCTGGGCCGATGGGGTAGGCAAAAGCCCATCCTTGTTTGTTTGGCCGAAAGAGACTTGGCCCGGACGCGAAACAGGGAGTCGGCTAGGGTTGCTTGCCGCTGCCCCCCCTTCCGCCGAACCCTTCTCGGCTCCCTGGCCGCCGACCGCCGCCACCAAGGCGGACTCCTCCGCCGCGCCTCTCTCCTCCGGCGGCTTCCCGCCGTCGCGAGCTGCTGTTCCGCCTCTCTTCCAAGCCTCCGTCAGACTGCTCACCTGCCCCTGCAACGCCTCCACAGCCGCCAACAACGCATCGAGAGTGCGGCTGTGATCTCTGGCTTGCACCTGCAAACCATTCAGATCCTCCTCGACCCTCGCCTGCCTCTCTGCCTGCGTCTCCACGACCTTCCTCAGCCCTTCGATCTCCGTGAGATCCTCTAACTCCCCGTCGAGCCCTACATCACCCGCATCGGTGCTTCTCTTGGCTGCCTGAGCTGCCTTCTCTGCTGCTTTCATTGACTTCGTCGATACCATTGCCGCCTTCCCTGGTTCAAGAGCTCAAAAGAACTCACTCTCGAGCCAGGCTCTGATACCAGATGTTAGAAACAAGGTTTCTAACGGGTTTGGGAATTGGGAGAATAGCTAGATCAACTAGGGATTGACCGAGCTAGGGATTAGAATTTAGAGAATTGGGACAAGAGAGGGGAAAGGGAGGGGTCGGCTGCGGCCGAATTTGGGGAAGAGGGAGGGGAAAAGGGACGCAGGAGGGAGAGGAAGAGAGAGAGAATAGATTTAGGTTTTCGATATTCTTCTGCTTAATGCAAAAATAACTTCTACTGCAGATTATATAATCCGCATAATTCCTATCTCCTACCCAACAAATAAAACATAACAATCGACTCCCGGTTTATTGCCCAAATTCCCCAAATAATCCCCCAATTAACAAAACCGACAAATAAAGCGAATTAACCAAAAGCTGCAAATTATTTGTTTCTAACAGACTCTAGCAAGATCGGTGTTGAGCTCACTACCCACCTACGCCATGCAGATCACGCTCCTCCCGATCTCGATTTGTGATGAGATAGATCGGCGGGTTCGTAGGTTCATCTGGGGATCAACAGGAGATAGCAGGAAGATCCACTTAGTCCATTGGGAAGGTGTTTGTCAGCTAAAGAAGGAGGGTGGCCTCGGCTTCAGAAGTGCGCATGAGTTGAACATAGCATTCCTAGCCAAACTTGCGTGGATGTTCATCAAGAAACCAGATGAGCATTGGGTGCAGGTTTTACAAGCTAAATATTTCAAACTTGTTAATGGTACCCTTGCAGCCAAGTCGATGAGTCGGGCATCAACACTTTAGCGAGGGATGCGCAAGGCGTGGCCGGTGATGGAGATGGGTACGCTAATGATGCTGAAGGATGGGATGGCTACAAATATGTGGACAGACCAGTGGGTGGAGCCAGGCACTCTTCTCATGGATTATCTGCGAGAGGATGCCCCGCCGGTGGAGGTGAGTACGTCGGTTGCTGCTTTCGTCGAGAACGATAAGAGGGATCTCTCCTCCCTCTCCCTATTTTTCCCAGATGATGTGTTGTTGAGAATTGCAGGAGTGCAACCGCCAGTGGAGGGCGCAGGAGAGGATGTGCCGATTTGGGGTCCGGAGGTCAATGGCAAGTTCAGCATCAGCACAGCGTACTTCCTGGCGATGGAGCACACAAAGGGAGAGGATACCTCGCGGTGGAAATCAATATGGAGTTGGAGAGGACATGAACGAGTTCGGCACTTCCTATGGCTTGCAATGTGGGAACGCCTTCTCACCAACAACGAACGCACTCGGAGGAAGCTCGAGAGGACATCCTGGTGCGGAGCTTGCCACAGGGAGCAGGAGACAGTCCTGCATGTGTTGCGGGACTGCAACTTTGCCAGGTTAACTTGGATGCAGTTAATCCCACCTTCTGACCATCACCGGTTCTTTGGAGCCTCTTTGCAGGATTGGATCGAGCATAACCTACGACATGAGCACACTGGTCTTGAGTTCGGCCTCACCTGTTGATCTCTCTGGAAGACCAGGAACGATCGAGTCTTTATAGGCAAGATCACTACGATTGTAGCCTTTTTGCAGCGCGTCCAGGCTTGGATAACTGTCGTGAGACACGCCTTGGATAAGGATAGGTTCATTCATCAACCTAATCCGCCCGCTAGAACGGAGGTGGAAATCTCATGGAAGCCACCACCTCCATAGTAGGTTACCCTCAAAACTGATGGCTCAGTTCACAATAACACAGGTCATGCTGCAGCTGGCGGCCTGTTAAGAGATAACATAGGTAGATGCCTCCTGGTATTTACTATGAACCTGAGTGTATGCTCTATTACCCGGGCAGAGTTAAGGGGCGCTGTGGAAGGATTACAGTTAGCTTGGGATGCTGGTTACAGACACATCAGACTAGAGTTGGATTCCTCATGTGCTTGCCAACTGCTACGGGATACGGACTCTAGAGAGCATCACCATGCAGCTATTCTGGATAGAGCTAGGAGCTGCTCCATAGGCAGTGGGACGTCTCTGTCACCCACATTTACAGGGAGGGGAATAAGTGTGCGGACTATCTTGCCAGTCGAGGGCATTTGGAACCTTTAGGACTTCACTTGTTTTCTTTAGCCGATCCTATGCTTTGTAACTGGACCATGTACGATATTCAGGGGCTCTCAGAGACCCATGTGATTTTGAATGAACGGTAGGGTGCCACTGCATCCATTTGATAAATAAAAAATGGATTAAATTAATTGAATATTTTAGTGGGCTGATTGGAATGATTGGTGGATTGGATACAAAATTGTCACCTCTAGCTCAAGCATTGTTATCTCTCATTTTTAAGGGCGTGCATCAGGTTCCCTTCAACTCTTCATCGTGAGCTTGAGATTAGAACTTGGAACCCCTGTGCACTAGTTGACTATCCAATATTGGCCGACCGACAAATAGTTTCGTTTAGTACGAGATCGCTTCACACCTCGCGGTGCTTACACCTCTCGCCTATTGGTGTTGAATTAAGGTCGGGTCCCCATAAACTGCAAGCTATGCCTCGAAATTCTCAGTTGGGAAAAGGAGAGTCGAATTTCGATCATTTCGATTGTAGGAAATGGGAAGTGCTTATTCAATTGACCATGAGGCGAGAATGAGGGACTATCCTTCGGATATCCTTACTTACCTATCCAACTATATTAATATAAGACAATCAATTAGATCCTTACGTTACGCTCCTGGGACTCCTCTCCTCGGCACAGGGAGTACGAGCCTTCATCTCCAGGAGAAAAGCATTGAGAACAGACGTATGTACCATATCATACCGAACCAAATACAATGTGGTCTTGTCCTTGGTTTCATGAATTTTATAAATATAAACAAAACGAACCAAATAAACATTTGAACTAGATCAAACAGAACCGAATACAATATTGATCTAGTCATTGGTCCTAATATGTCTTTCATCATTGGACCGCAGCTCTTAGCGTCGCCGATGGCAACTTCACCACCAATAGATAATAGCTTTAAGGAGGCATAGTTAGGACTTTACGTGTGTCATTATATGAACAATTCAAGTTATAACTCGATGAACTATCCTAAAAATTATGTAATCTACAAGAGAAGAAACCAACTCTTGCCACCTGCACCAAAGTGGACCATCGATGGAAGTGTAGCATACACCTTGCTGGAGTTGATTAATCACTAAGGTTTGTGAAACCGTACCAGGGGTCATACAGTAAAATGAAAAGTCAATGATAAGATAGTTTGTAGTAAACCGTGATTTAATCATGGTTCAAACATTTCGTACAGAGAAAACAACCTACCTTTTTGGGTCCGGTATCCGGTATTTCCGGTCGGACCGACCAATATGATAGGGTTTCCTAAACATTCAATCACGAGTCACGACCTCCAAATCACCTTTGACAACCACATGGATAGCTAATGGTTGCTTGCAAATTGCAACTATGAGGGCATCACAATTCACAAACTACAGGTGCTCTGCAATGCATAGATCCAAAATGCCACTATAAAGATAGGAGTGTGAACCATAAAAAATAAAAATAAAAAGATACGAGTGTGCAACGGTACGATCGTACCGGACTTTGCTGCTTCTAGTTCACTAGAGTATACACAATAATAGTGATGTGAAATGTGCCCTATTACTATTTAGCATCAGTAACAAGTAGCAGCAGCAGGAAATCTCGTTGATTAGCTCATACCATTATCCCTCATAACTTCCCAATATATACCTTCGTTCAAACCAGCCGACTTAATCACCTCCCAAGTTATCATATCTCTCCGTCCCTCAGTGAAGCAGAAAGTCAAGCTCTTTGCTTTCATTTCGCTCCACCCTTTGGTGCCAGAAAAGACCCCTAACTAACTAACACGCACCTTTCTGTTTCCCCTCTCCTTCCTTCATAGGATTTCAGTTCGCTCCATTCTCATTTCCATTCTTCGCGCCATCCTCCCCCTCCCTCTTTCCTGATACAACAGCAAGCAAGTTCAAACAAGGAGGAACTGAATCAATCAACTCCCCGAATAGAGAACTGAGGTTTGGAGACAGTTGTAAGTTTGCTATAATGCCTTACTCTTTGTTGAGGCATCGGTCTCAAAAACATAGCCAGCTTCAGCAAAGTGGTCTTGCACCATCGCAAGAGCTCTGTAGCGGTGAGATATCTTATTCTTCTCTTCCTTATCCATCTCTGCATATCTATCGGACCACAACAAGTCACACCATCTTTCTTTTACATATTGGACGTGGATAAAGAAAGCTACATGAAAGTAGAAAAGTGGTTCAACTCACGTTTGCTCAAAGCCATCAGGTTGGAATATTGGATCCCATCCAAAATCGTTTGGTCCCTTTGCAGGAACAATCTTTCCCTGAAATTTATGTGTCGCATAGAGTTTTAAGTGATGTGAACCAGACATGACATGCTGCTAACCTTAACTTTCCACTCTGGGGCCTGGGCAAGCCTCACCATTCAGAATATAAAACCATCAAAACATGATTCAAAGAAACCAGTAACGTAACACAAAGACGACATACCGGGGTTTTCCCAACAAATGTTACAGGTTCCACATCTGGTCCGAGAGCAAAAGAGAATGCACATAAAGCGTATGCCGACTTATCCTCATACGCCATCAACAGGTTATTCAGACCTAGAAAGTTGAAGAAAAGAAAACACTCAAGGGTAAGTTATTGATCATAATAACAAACAAAACAGGAGGGAAGCTTAGGAAAACAGTCAGAAGTACAACCTTCATGACCGATCTTCTGCAGAAACCACTTGCTGCCAGATGCATTAACCAGATCAAATGTTTAGAACCAGGGGGGAAAAGGAGAAATGGAATAAGGGAACAATTGATTCAACTGAAGAGCAGTCAACTATCTTAGAGGTGATGAATGTACTCAAAAGCACCTTAGCTCTCAAGTTCATAGGTCAGGCAACCAATATCTCACTATCAAAGTAAAATGCAACGGTAACTACCCCCTAGCTCTTACCACTAATTACCAATCAAGAACATCCCTCAAGCATTGACAAACCAACACAGCACATCGTCAAAATTCCATTGAAATGAGAAATAGAAACATGATTACACCTACAAAATCGGGTAAGACGCAGACTTACATGTACGGCCCTGCAAGAACGGTATACGGCCAATCAAATAACCAAACAAACCATCACAATTCACTATGAATGATCGAAAATGCGAAGGAATCGAGCTTGTACCAGGGAGACCTTTGAGAGCACTGAAGCAAAGACAAGTGTCCTCCACCAACACGGGTCCTTTCACCTTCACCAACAAACAAGCGCCACAAAATCTCAGTGCCCATAACAACAATGACGATTACATTATAAACCCCATTTGCAGTTTTAGGCATTACCTCGATGGCAGCCAAACGAGCTTTCTCCTTGGAGATATCTTCGGGCTCGCCTTGCAGCTCCGGAACTGCAAAGACCAAAAAAAGTACCAGCAACAACGCGAAAGCGTTGATTCTTCGGTTCGGATTTTCATATAAAAAAAAAACAGAGAGAGCTAGAGAAGGGTTTTTTTAGAGAAGTACGGTCGAGCTTGAGGGACTGAAATGGAATCGAGTGGCCGAGAATGGCGCGCACTTCCTCCAGCTTCTTGGCGTTGCCGGTAACGAAAGTCACCGGGCGGGCCACCGCAACATTGGAGGCTGCTAAGTTGGTTGCCGCTGCCATTTTCAGAGCTTCTCTACAATTTTGTTTCTTCGTTTTCTGCCCTTCCGGTGGTGAATTGAAATCAGTATCAGACTTCACCGGTCTCTAGGTGGATTGCTTTAGAGATTTGCATCATGGATTTGTTATAAAAAAAAATCAACCATCATGGATTTACACACAATTTGTTGTTTGCTTTGTCAAAAAATGTTAAGATATATCTGTGGGCCCTATGGATTGGAGTTTTTTTAGCTCCAAATCCATGGCCCCACGATTTTATAAATCACACCTCATACCCTTGGATTTGGAGACAAGTTGAAAAACCATACCCACCTCATCAAATCCATGATAAAAATAGTTCAACAAACAAATAATTTTCTCAAATCCATAATGCTCAAAACTCCTAATAAATCCCAAGATTTTTAATTAGCAAATCCATGACAAAACCCTCGTTATAAAATACTTGAAGCAAACCAACCCTAGTCTCTACTCCTCACTTTGCGACTTTGCCTTGCCACTGACTGTACCGTTTTGTGTTTTGACTGTTTGCATTTGCTACGGAGAGTCCCAAGTTGGGCTCAAGAGTCAGAAGGCCCAACCCATTCTAGTCTATTTGGTATTTTCCTTTTATTACGCTAGCCCAGCTCTTGGTTAAGGATAGAGTCCAGCATGCTTCCCCTGGTCCTCCCCTGTCACAAGCTGGAAATTCTGGCCCAACCAAATTCACTCCACTTGATGAGTAACAACTAACAAGTGGGCAAAGTGGCTAGAAATTTTTTACCATATATATTTGATATTCTATGAGACCTAAAAGATATATACAATTAAATGGGTAAGTGTTAAAAAAAAGTGTAACCATGCTTAAAAATCAAATCCAACAATTCTCGAATGGTATATAAGGACATAGCTTTCTTTGTCATATAATAGGGAGTTTCGTTTGAATTTGACTAACAAAATGACTGATATATCCAAGTAATGTGTCCAACAACAGTTTGATTAACGCCAATAATGCTCCACCCTTTACGCTCCAATTAGTCGGTGAACACACCTGTTGAATAAGGAGCTCGACATTCCCGTGGATTCACAAAGTACAACACCCACCGTGCCATGGGATCCACTCTGTCTCGATCCATGGAAAGAAACAAGTGGTTGTCACCTTGACGACGGTTGAATCTCAACAACTTGTGTTTGTCGTTGCTACGACATTGGTTCACTTGTGGTTTATCATACCTCTAGGTATTCCTGCATATGGAAACCCCATTGCCACTTCATAACACGAATCGTCCATTGACAACCCTAAGAAAAACCTATTTGGGACTTCCACTCAATATTCACCATGCCAAGTAACCTAGGTTAAAATTCACTCATATTCGCAAAATCAACACCCATAACAACTTGCTTCAAGTCAATCTCCTCATAGAAGTTTGGAGCTACATGCCACTCCTGAAAAATATAATTAAGGAATTCAATATGCTCAAAACAACCGAAACATGAGCCATCTGTAGCGATGCCCCTATGTTTGAGCACCTCTCCAACTGAAAGTATACCCCTAACTACTCGTAAGGGGAACAAACGAAACTTCTCCATCCTCATTGCCTACCGGATCCTTCATTGAAACCCATTGAGAAGAAGTTTCTTCCATATAATATACCCCTAGATCTCCATGGAGGGTCAACACCCTATTGAGCATTTAGAAAATCTTCATGTCGGAGGTATCGATCCTTATAAATCTTTGCTAAGAGTGAGGGATCGACAAGTAGTCTCCGGCTTACCTTGGCTAGTAGGACTTGGTAAAAAGTCTCAAAATTCCTAAACCCCATTCCCCCATCAGTTTTACTTCTACATATGGATTTTCAAACCAACTAATGGAGCCTTCGCTCTCTTTCCTTAGCTCCCTACCGGAATTGAGCAATGTGTCGATTCAGCAAGTCACATAAATGGTCCGTCAACCAAAAACACAACATTACAATCACGAAAAATATCCAAAACCACATATTTAATCAACGTCTCTTTGTTGCGCGCCAACGAAAAACACTTGCTTTTTACCCTTTCAAACGCTCTAACGGCTTCTCCTAGAAAAAAAATTGAAAGTTCCACTCGTCAATCTCCCCAACAAAGACAGCTAACTCACCTCAACGGCCCGAGGGGTGTTCAAACGGATTGGTTACCGTGGTAACCATATTAACCGGTAGTATTAAGTTAATTTGGTTTGATTAATTTGGATAATTGGTTTGGTTTGGTTAAACAATTTAGCTTATTTGGTTTGGTTTCAACACTGCTAACTAGTGAAACCAATTAATGATACACCTAATATACAAAATTATTTATACTTCCATGCAACTAACCAAACCAAACTTTCGTGATTCCCTATTTTTATTTCCATGTGCAAAACAAACCAAAGCATTATGGGTCAAAACTTAAATGGGTCTGCCACTTTACTAAATAAAAACATTTTGGACAGCTACTAGACTTTTGGATTACGTACAATACCATGACAGCCACCTCAAACTATGTATAGTTGAAGTGTTTTGTAGAAGATTTTTAACTTCCCGGTGAGTGGTATTGGTATGTATTTAATATTTATGTTAAGGGTTTGTTGTAAGCTAACTATATTAGTTGTAGAGATGATGAATGATGTGTTAACTCAAATGATGATGATAATCATGGATGGTTAGTCTTATTATTATTGCTCATATATAATGATAGTTTATGTTAGTAATAACATATGGTTATGTTTTATTCATTAACATGATAATTATTTTCATGTAATGTTATGTTATTTGGTTAATCCAATTATCCGATTAACCAAACCAATTAAACTTTGGTTTGGTTAATTTGGTTTTCGTGTTAATTTGGACGGTTTGGTTATGACATTTTATTCCATGGTTAATGAAATTCCAGCTTAATTAGTTTGGTTATTACCACGGTAACCATTTGAACACCCCTAAATGGCCTCATACTCCAAGCATTGATGCCATCACGTTCGCCTAAATTTTCAGAATATTTTTGCTAAAGTAAAAAAAGTTGATTTCAATATATTTAATTTGCAACCACTCATTGCCTCATATTTATGTAAACTCGCCTACAAAGAAATGCATTCCTCAATTGAACCTAAAAAAGAGGTATGAGTCATGTTGGGGTTTTGAATGATGTGAATGAGAATGAAATGGGAAAGAACCAAGAGAATCTCTTGAAGTACCATGCTGGTTATATGTGGGAAGGCACAGTCTCGAATTTGATCAATTTGATGAAATAAGTTAGTAATAGATTAAACTGGTTTGAGTACCAACCATACCAAACTGAACTGAGTTGAACCAAATTAAACCAAACCGATGTGGCGGTTGAAATAACCAAATCGGTCCAATTATCATTGGTTGAACCAATTGAATGGTTGAAAATTTTCAAACAAACCATTGCAATGGTTGGGGTGTAACCACCCAAACGAAGAGTTGCCTCCCTTCGTACACACCCCTTCATTCTCTATAAATATCCTCTGATTTTGATATGATTTTTCCAAGTACCGAAACTCTGCCAAAATTAAAAGTGATTTCTCTGCATTGTTTTCGAAAGAAAAAAAATAGAGTCAAGTGTGGTTCTCGCCATTTTGTTGCGTTCGATGGTTTCTGGGGTTTAAGGTACCACTACGCTGGAAAGGTACGTCCTTTCTATCATGTGAGGAATCATTCTGTAACCTTAGGCACTAGAGGGGAATAAGATTCCTTAAGGAGAGACATTGAAGTATGTAGGCTATGACGTTTGCATGTGTTTGCATATTTTTTGTGATCTTACATGTTACTTGTTTAGCAAGATATAGCATACATGAAATTTGTTCACAACAATCTTAAGGAATCTTATTTTTTGGTTATTGTTCTCGTATTGTGTTTTGGTTCCCGAAAAAGTTGCATTCAAAATTTTGGATATATAAAGTTGGGCATGATCGAATGTTACATGATCATGTGTTCGTGTATGCCATTGTTTTATGCATATTGTCCTTGTATACTGTTTGTTTTTCCGGAAAAATCGCATACGACATTCATCGTTAATTTCTGTGTGTTAGGGGATTCTCGCATGCAATATTGTATAATTGTTTTGTATTGGGTCATTAAAAGAAGGATTATAGGTATAATATGCCCTCTACTATGCATTTTTCTCAAACATGCCCCTCTATTATATTTCACATCAAAATTGCCCATCTACTATGATAAATTCTCAAACATATCCTTCCGTTAAATTTTCCATCCAAAAACCATTAAGTTTGGTCAAACCCATTTTTTACCAACCTTCAACGACAAAAACATCCTTTATTATGCATGAGAAAAAATAACAATGAAAACAATAGCAACTGCCATTTAATAAGCCAATTGGGGTAACATCCTTTATAACTCTCAATCCTAATCCTCAACTGTTCCATAAAAAAAACAAAAACCTCAGGAAAGGCACATCAAATTAATCCTTATCACTCAATCCCTTGTAGTTCTTTGTTCTTCCCGCTTCTTTCTTCTTCATTAGTCCTACTTATGACAACCTATCACTGGAGGCACCTGAAACAAATACAGAGTACCGAGCGGCGACGACCAAGGGTGAAATCCCCAATCAACAAATTTACTTCCAAACATAAACGCTTTCTTCTTCAAATTTGAGTATGAAGAAGTGTCGGAGATCAAATGGTAGCAGTCGACGGACTGGATTGAATTCGAAATCGACGTGGCGACAATAATGAGATTTGGCTGCAAGAGGCACTACGCGCTAGGGTGAAGATTTGAGATCCACAATCGACGTGATTGGATTTCATTATGCTTTTCGATACCTAAATCTCTAAATAGTCTTCTTGCAACCTGAAAAATAGTCGGCGATAGCAACATGGAGGTAGAGAGTGAAGTGGTGGCAATAGATTCCCATTTTCACTTTTGGAGCAATGCTCTCTTCTTCTTCTCTCTCTCTCTCTCTCTTTTTTTGTAAGAGGAGCAATGTTCTCTGCTATCTCTTTATTATTTGTTTTTGACTTTTTGCTATAATCTTAGATT